AGTTCAGGAATAGGTGCTTCTCTAGGGGGGAGTAATCTTTCCTGGGACTGCTTCCTATCCCAAGGAACCTAGGATGGATGTATCTGAAATGGAAGATTGGCAGTGGTATATAAATTCAAAGGAAGGGATGAGGTTGTATTCTTAGGTGGTGAGTGAAAGGGCTTGGAAACAGACCAGGTCCTTTGACTATGGATACTGAGCTCTTTCCATCATGCCACACTGCCACCATCATTAATATGGATCCTTATAAAAATATATGAGAGAGAGAGAGAGACAGAAAGAGAGAGAGAGAGAAAGAAGAAGAAGAAGAAGAAGAAGAGAGGAGAGGAGAGGAAATGCAGAAAGGAGGCTTGGGAGAGAAGGAAGGCTTGAGAGAGATCTGAAATTGCATTGAGTTGGGTTAGATAGAGTAAGGAGCAAGGCTTTTGTTTTCCAGAAGCCCCACTTTGTATGAGAATCATAGAAAGAATAAAGAAAGAATGCTTGAGCACAAAACTCATGAAAGAGAAATTAGAATTTAGAGTATTCTAGGAGGAGAAAGGAGTAAAGAAGAAAATTAAATTAGAACTTCTTAGAAAGGGGCACTACAAATGAATACTATTCAAACTTAGAAACTAGACAGTTTCTTAAAGGGAAGAGAAGATTCTGTAACACTCTTTTCTGGGTGGAAAAGGATAGAACAAAAAAAAATGGGCTGGGGGCAGGATAAGGGATGCAATGGTCATCAGATACATATAAAAAACCAAATTGAAATGCCTTGATGCTGATTTTAAATTTAATGTAACAGAATTTGATGGATTAAAATACAAATTATTTTAACCTTAAACATGAGTGGACTGAATGCCTTATTTGAGGCAAAAACAATTAAAACAATTGGGAATTGTGGAACTGATAAGGAAACAAAACCCAATAACAATTTTCTGCACACAACATTTTTAAAACATGTACAAAATGAAAATGAGGTACCAGAACAAAATTTATTATGCTTCATACAATTACAAAAAAGGAATCTCCTTTATGATTCCAATGAGGCAATAATAAAAATTGATAATGTCAAGAGAGATAAGCAGGAAAATACATTATGCTTGGAGGCACCATAGACAGTGAAAAAATAACATTATTAAAAATAATAAAAAAAAATTATTAAATATTCTACAGCATCTCTGACAAAGGGTTATCTATCCTTCCACTGGAGATTTCCAGAGAAGGGAAATTAAACATTATTAAATATATTTAATAATATATAATAATTATTATAATAATGTGTTAATATTATAATATATAAAAATATAATATAATAATATTAATATATTATAATATTATAATAATAATAACACTAAATAACAAAACATCTAAGTTCTTAAAGGAAAAGCTAATGGAATTTCAAAAAGATATTGATAATAATGATAACCATAGGACACTTTAATATTCTTCTTTAGAACTGGAAAAATCTAACAGAAAGAAAAACAAGAAAGAAAAAAAACTGAAGAGATTGTTGGAAAAATTAGATTTGGAAAAACCTCTAGTAGCTTTGGAATATGAATTAAAGAATATACATTATTCTCAGCATCACATTATTTTAAAATATTGATTGTGTTCTAGGGCATAACAAAAAATGCAAAACCACTAAAAGCATCATTTATAGATCACAACTCAATAAAAACTAGTAATCAATAAAGGAAACTGAGCAAAAGATATAGTCCTAAATGGAAGTGAAGTAATGACATGCTAAATAATTAATATGCCAAAAAGGGAGAAATGACAGAAACAGAGAAAAATAAAATTGCCAAAATAAAAAGTTAAGATGATACATTCCCAATTAACAGGAAATAAAATGGGAGTTCGTTAGTCCATCCATCCATCCATTTAACAAGCATTAAGTATCTACTAGGTGCTGGAGATTTTAAAAAAGATAAATAAGACACAGTCTTTACCTTAAAAGAGCTTAGCTAGTAGAGGATATAAGAGATATGGACAGAAACAACCATATAACTGTAATATAAAATGAAATATAGTGAGTCCATAGGAGAGACCCAAGCAAAAGATTATTAATTTAGAGGAGGGAGAGATCATTCTAATCAGAGAAGAAAAGGCAAAGCTTCCTGGACAAAACTGGACCTTGAAGAATGGGTAGGATTTCAACATTTAGAGATGAGGGAAGAAACAATAACTACCCTACCTAACTCATAGGATTATTGTGAGAATCAAATAAGATGGTAGATATAAAAGCACTTTCACAGAATGTATGAGTTAGACAGAGGTTACTATTTAGTCCAATCCATTTCTGTATATTCCTATATTTTTTTTTTCTACAGCATCTCTGACAAAGGGTTATCTATCCTTCCATTGGAGATTTCCAGAGAAGGGAAATTCCTGCCACATTTCTTCATGCCTCATTAGTTTTATCTATACCCTTCTGTAAGTCCTCAGTCCAACAGTTCAACCAATGTGCCAAAGATCTCTTTACATTGTGTGAATGCCAATCAGCTACCCATTGAGTCATTTGTCATTCATTCTGAGCCTACCTCCTTTTCCAGTCATATTTCTATCTGATGTTATTTCTGCAACTTTTACCATGTAATTTGGCACTAGCAATGTTACAGCCTATTCATTTCTACCAAGTACCTCTCCATTATCCTTGAGGTGAACTGAAACTTTAATTCTTCAGAGACTGTGATAGGCCATGACCAAATAGAATCATGGAAAGAATATTGACATTAAAAAAGGTAAGTCTTTGTTTCCTGGAAAATGTTCAGGTCATTAAAAACGGCACACAATTCCAAAAGGTTATCTAGCCTACTCCCCTCCTGTACAATTCTAGGCCCAGTTCATTGTCCAATCACAGTTACCATCCAAGATACATGTACTGATGGACCAATTCTATGAATTGCCTAGCTTACTTCATATCATGGTCTTGATATTCTTCATCTATTTGTTTTTTCCTGTGGGAAGTTAGGCCACATTCTTTTGAGTGATTATATATCTCATTAGGGAACTCTGCTGTATTCTAATCAGCACAATGTCACCTGCAAAACAGAAGCTCCTGGAAGATCTCACAGTCTATAGAAAACACTTCTTTAGTATTTTGTGAAGGACATATTTCATAAGAGTAGGAAGCATCTTTGTCATATCTACATCTCCCTATTTTGTGCCTAACTTGATAATAATAATCATAGTGGAAAACAAAGCAATCTGGTGTTACATCTTTCAAACAGTCTTATATGATTTTAACATATGAAAGGGAAACACTTTGTTGGAAGAGAGTCTTTCAGGTGACATACTGCTATATAAATCAAATTTTTTATAGTCAATAAAAAATAAACACATTAGGATCTTGTATTCTTCATGCCCTCCAGTCAATTATATGCCTGTAAAGAATGTGTTCTGTTGTGGAATATCTTTTGTTAAAGTCTGTTTTCCTCATATCTTTCTAAGTGCTATAATCTGAGTGTCCATTAATCACATAACGACTTTGTAGAGATAAAAATGGCATTTAAGTCAGTAGTTATTGACATTTTCTGGGTTGCCCTTTTGGAGTGACAATGAGAGAAAACTAGACAGAGAGGTGGCCTTCTAGTCAAGAAAACACTGGTTAAAATCTTGCATCAAATATAATGGCTACATGACCCTGGGTAAATCTCTTAAACTTAAAAAGCACCAGGCAACTCTGAGCCAATAAACTGCTGCATTCATAGAAAGAAGAATCTCTTCACTCGGAGTTCCTTAATCAAGTCTGAGGACACACACACACACAGGCTTTCCCTCAAGTATGTGATGTCCTCTCCCCTTTCATACTTCCTGAGAATTTATTCCTCAGTGGCCTCTAAAAATCACAAGGAAGAGTGTTTTCTTCCACTTCCTTTTTTCCATTTCTAAACCAACCTGAGAGATGGTCAATGTTCCTGCTAAGGAAGGCTTCCATAATCATCTGCAATGAATGCTCTGCTGTGGTGTAGTGGAAGGAGCATTGAATTTGGAATGAGAGGTTCTGGGTTTGAATACTGGCTCTGCTACGCTAGCTATGTGACCTTGAGCTGCTCCTTTTTCCTGCTCTGGGTTTAAGTTTCCTGATCTACAAAACGAAGGATTTGAACTAGATGGTCAATCAGGTCAATTCCAGCCGTCTACCTGGGGTAGAGGAAGTTGATGATTGGATAGTCTTCGGTTATTTCTAAGTCTTTCTCCTGCTTTGGTCCTCATCCCTATTCACAGAGTTACCGTTTTCTTTCCAAGAATGGCTTAGGAAATCTGACGTGTGTTTGAGCTCTGCTCCACCACATCTCCACTGTCCCCCGACTTTTCTCAAAGGCACTCGCCAGAATAACTGCCACACTACAGTCTGAGATTATCCGGAAAAAGCCCTGAGAAGGGTCTGACTAGGGACAACAACTATGTCTACTGTCAGGGGACGAAGTAAAAAGGCGATGGAATTAATCTCTCCGCCTCACAGCAAGCAATGCATAAGTGGGAAGGTGGTTATCTTCAGCAAATCCAGCAGGACCGGCCAACCCCACCTCGCAGAATGCAAGCTCTTTGAGGGTAGGGACTGTTTTCTGTGTGCGCCTTTTGTTTCCTAACAGCCTTACCACCTCAGTGCCTAGCAAACAGCAGGCATTTAATAATGTTTTTCGAACTTAACTGGGAAGCAGTAATCTGACTGGCGGGAGGAGAAAGAGAAGGCCCTTTAGACTGCAGGACCGGAGCTCGAGCCTGCACAGGACAAGGAGCCAGGCTCTCCTGCAGAGGACTCCGAGACCGGGGACAGCAAGGCAGCTGGGCTGGAGTTCTCTAGTGCCTCAGGCTGCGGTTCGGGTCGTGCTCGTACGTGCACGCGCGAGGCCGCGCATTGGAAAAGGAGGGTGTAGATGGGGCGCGTGCACGGGAGCTCCGTGTTGGGAAGAGGGGGTGGAGAGGGAAGGGAAGGACCGCTGCCAGCCGGACACGGGCCGAGGATGGGGATGTGACGAGTGGCTCGCGGTGCATTGTGGGAATTCACACAGACCCTGCCGACTGGTTCCAGTTCACACGGCGGTTGATCAGAGAGAGAGGGAGAGTGAGGGGAGAGAGCGAGCGAGCGCGCGCGAGCGAGAGGGAGGGGGGGGGGAGAGACCGGACGAGCGAGCGCGGAGAGAAAGAGCGAGAGCGGCCGAGGCAGGAGACATATTGCTGCTGCTCCTGCTGCCTGGGAGCCGCTCCGTAAGTGATCGGCGGGGGGTGGGGGCAGGGTTCGGGCTTTCCCGCTCCTCTGGGGCCGTGCGCTTGTTTGCTGGGGCAGCAGTCGCTGCCGCACCCCGGGGCTGGTGGACTGCCCCGCGGGGCGCCCGGCTTTCCATTGAGAATTCTCGCTCCAGGCGGCGCGGGCTGCCCGGGCTGGATACGTTGTATCTCTTTGGTCTGGGCTTTGGGCGCGGGGAGGGGGGGAGGCTGCTCAGAGCCCGGGGGTGGGGGTGGGGGAGGACCTGCTCCAGCTGCCGGGAGAGCGAGAGAAAGGAAAAAAGGAAGAATTCGTTTGTTTCTCTCCCAGTTCCCTCCCCCCCTTTTTTTTTCCTTTAAAGAGGTCGCCTTGCTTTCTTTCCTTTCTTGCAAGGAAGCTTGCAAGGCCGACAGCTTCTTAATTTTTAAAAATAAACCCGGAAACCAACTTCCTTTGGAAGAAAAAAAAAAGCAAGCATCCTATCCCTGACGCTGCTGCCGCCGCCGCCGCTGCTGCCCTCCTCCTCCTCTCACCCGCCCCCACTCCCCTCCCGGGCCCCGGAGCCGGCGGAGCCTCCCGGAGCTGTTCCCGCCCTTCGGGGAGCCCCGGCCATTGGAGGGGGGGGGGGTCTGGGGAGGGTAGAGCCCAGTGCCTCTGGCTCCTTGAAGGGAAGGTGCAGAACCTGGGAAGAGGTGAAGAAAAGGACTCCTCCCCCTCCCCCTTCCACCCCTCCCCGCTCCTTGGCCAGGCCTGCACCCAGGGCGGTGTTTGGGAGTCTTGTGTTAAAGGTGCCTAAAGTTGCACTTGAAAGATGAGACAGCCTCGGCGGCAACGTGGCGCCCCGGAGTTATGAGAGTGTATGGGAGAGAGAAGGGGCTGTTCGGAAAGGGGGGGGGGGTTCCGAGGAGGGGGGGTTCCGAGGTTCCCAGAACAATACTGGCAGAGGGAGTGAGGGCAGAGAAGCACGCCCTGCAAGGAAGGAGGTGGATGTGCATGTGTGGGGATTTGAGCCTTGGCCGTTCCAGGTCCTGTCATTACTTCCCCTGGGGGAAGAAGTCCGAGGAGCTGCACTGGCAAGGGGTCCTCTTCAGTGGGGGGGAAGGATTGGACCGAGTTGACCCGGTCGGTACCCGAAGATGCTATTTGCACAAGCCTCTTCTCATTAGGGAACGATGGAGGTTTTGGGTACCGACCAGCACTCCACGTTCTTTAGTTTCTGGGTAGTTCTGTTTACAATTTTAATTTTTTTCTCGAAGGTAATTCCCGGAAGGGCCTATATTTCCCTTCTGTTGCAGCTTGGTGAAGTGCTGGATTTGGAGCCTGAAGAACTGAATTCGATACCTGACTTTGTCAGACTGTCCTGTGTAATCTTGGGCATGCCTCCGCACTTTGGGCCTTGATTTCCTCATCAGTAGAATGAGGGGGACTGGTGTAGATGACCTCTAGGGCCCCTGCTGGTTCTATATCTTTGATCCTTTGTAGGGTTGAGAAAGTATTGGAACTAAAGACTTGCCTGGCACTAGGAGGGAGGGTGGGTAGAGATTGGGAGGGGTGTTTGAATGTTGTCTGTCATCTCACCTGACCACCAGTGAGTGAATCCCTTTCCCCTAACAACCCATTACTCCCTCCATTACTTAAAGGAAATTCAGATTACGACTGTATTCTTAGTTCTTATATACATGTTAAGAAAATGCTTTATTTCAAAAGAGACCAAATGGATTATGAAGAGCAAGTAAATCTTAAGTCCAGCATTTGCACTTATTTTGAAAAACTTGTAAGATTTTAATGATGCCATAAACGTCTTATAAAAATAGAAAATTATAGTTTCTTGCCAGTTCCCTTCCCTTACACTCATAGTTTGAGGTTTCACAGTTCAAGGTGCTTCCTTCCTTTTAAAGATTAGGCATTCTTTAAAGACCATTTGCTTTTGTGGAGTTGGTAGCACTCATTCATAGCTTTGGAACTCAGTTTTGCCAACTGGGGCCCATCTTTACCCATTTGATTATGGAAGCAAACATTAATTTACTGGCCATGGTATCATTAAACCAGAAACTAGCACCTCTGATTTCCCAGATTTGACACCAACTCCTCTACAAACCAAGTTTAGTATGTTGTACCTCCTAAATTTCATGGGAAAGTTACAATTCCTCTTTATAAAAACATTTTTATGTTTAAAAACAGGATTTTAAAATTATGTATTTTTTTCTCTGCTTTTCACAGTGAGATAGTCAAATACTTCCACAATCTCCAAAAATCTAGGTTTGTATTCTTAATTTAATAATTGCAATATGTAACATTTATAAAGCACTTTAAAGTTTATAATAATACTTTACTAATAGTCTCTCATTTAATCCTCACAACAACCATATAGGGCGGGTACCATTATTATACCCATTTTACAGATGAGGAAACTGAGGTTAAGTAAAGCGACTTGCCCAGGACCCTACAGCTACTATGTTCAAGGCAAGATTTGGACTGAGGTCTTTCTGATTCCAGGTTCAGCACTCTATCCATTGCACCACTTAGCTGACACAGTTAGTGCTGGTATTGAAAGCTGACACACATAGTGCTGGAAATGAAGGCTAAAGGAAGCGTGAAGTTATACCAAGAAGAGGTTGGACATTGAGACATTTTATTTTCAGACCTCAGAAATTGTCCAGTTCCCCATAACAAATACAGATGGAGTATTTTAATGAATAGCAAGCTCAGCACAAATCAACACATGTGGCAGCCAAAAAAGCTAATTTCATCTTCAGAGAATCACAGTGCCTAGAACATGGGATGCAGTGGTATGGTTAGAGAGAGTGCTAGATTTGGGATCAGTCACTGATCAATCACTTCTCTCTGGGCCTCAGGTTTTTCCTCTACAAAATGGGAGGACCACCTCAGAGGGCCCTTCTAGCTCTAAATTTATGATCCTGTGGTACTCCCAAGTATGTTAAATTTCTGTCAAACAATATAGCTCTTTTATTCATTTAGCTAGAATTTATTGAGTGCCTACTATGTTCCAGACACCAAGCAGGGGATACAAAAACCACTTCCTGTCCTCAGGGAGCTTACATTCTCTTTTAGTATTGTTTTTAGTTCTAAGTACTACACTTTAGGAAGGATGTTGACAAGCAGGAGAGTGTCCAGAAAAGAGTGACTAGGATGATGGGAGTTCTTGAGGTTATACCATATGATAATCATTTCAAGGAAAGGGGATAAGGATTTATAAATCAATCAACCAACAAACATTAAGCATCTACTTTCTGCCAGGCACTGTGCATGTCCACGGTCACATAGCAAGTCAGGAGCACAAAGGGACTACAACCTAGGTCTTGACTTGAGTCATGTCTTTCTCTGTAAAGCCTTATACCCTTGCCCTGGATAAGAGCTGCAATGAAACTAAGTCATGATTTCTTTGTAAAAATAATAATTGGGGGGCAGCTAGGTAGCACAGTGGATAGAGTACCAGCCCTGGAGTCAAGAGGGCCTGAGTTTAAATCTGGTCTCAGACACTTGACACTAGCTGTGTGACCCTGGGCAAGTCACTTAACCCCATTGCCTAGACAAAAAAAAAAAAACTGAAATGACCATAACCCCTTATTATATGTACAGTGCTTTGCACTCTATAGTTTTCATAGTGTTTTCACTTATGTTATCTTATTTAATCTTTGCAGTATCTCTGTGGCGTATAGGCAGAATTAGTCACAGAATTGTTGGGGGGGAAAGTGTTTTATAAACTTTAAAACACTATTGAGTAGTATCATAGATTTAGAGCTTGAAGGGACCTTGGGCCTCATTTTATAGATGAGGCTCCTGGGAGGTGGCGAGTGAGGTTTTGACTAGCTCATGGTTCCCATAGTGTCTGAGGTAGGGTCTGAACAAAACTCTTCCTGTCTCCAAGCCCGGTGCTCTACCTGCTGCACCATCCAGCTGCCTTAAATGTTATTATTAATAGGTAATGACTTTGAGATAGCAGTCATTTTTAAAAAAAAAGATCTAGGGGTTTTAGTGGACTTCAAGCTCAACATATTTCAAATGTGACACAGTTGCCAGCAAATGAAAATGAAATCTTAGGTTGCATTAAAAAAGAGGACTAGGGATGTGAGAGTCCCACTGTGTTATTGTTTAGCTCACAAGTGGAGCACTGTCTTCAGTTCTGGGCACCGAGTTTTAGGAGAGACCTAGAAAGGTTCTGGAGGAATGGCAACCTGTATGGTAGAGAGTCCTGAGGTCATGCTATATAAGGGTAAGTTGAAGGTAGTGGGGATGTGTAGCCGGGAGAAGAGAAGACTTCCGGGTAGATATAATAGTTGTTTTCCAGTATTGACAGGGCTGTCATGTGGAAGATGTATAGTTTAGCTTGGGCCTGAATAGCAGAACTGGTGGTAGTGGGTAAAAACTGCAGAGAGGCAGATTTTGACTCCATCAGATTAAAAACTTCCTAAAAATTAGCTGTGTTCCTGTGTATTGAATTTCCCCCTACCCGAAGGTCTCCAAGCAAAGGTTGGCTGCCCACTTGTGGGGATGTTGTAAAAGGGATCTTACACAGCTTCATAGCTGGACAAGATGGTTTCTGAAGTTCCTCCCACCTCTGTAATATTGGATAATGCACAGATTAGGCTTCGGCATATAGGTATACTCAAACTTTCTGACAGCTCCTATTTTAATAGAAAACTGATAAGGATCAATTCATAGTACCCACTCACTTAGTCCTGTCTAAGGAGGCCCAAAATAGTAGGGAGTTTTGAAATATTATTCCAAGGTAGCCTACAAAAAATTTAGTTTGGACAAGTCATCATAACATCAAGCTAGTTCATTTTTTTTTACCTCTATCACTGCCACCAAGCAGTGTAGTGCAACTTGCTTTACTTACAAATCCAAAAGGAAAACCCCAAAATAACCCCCCAACAACAGCCTGACCACTTCTGATATTATCGCAGCTGCTCGTGAGGTTGTTCACCTGTTGTTTTACTGATCTAGGGCTGGTGGCCAGAGCAGACAGCTGTAGAGATTGTAGAGTTTTCTGTCTCTTAGTTCAGAAGGATTCTCTGAAACCCTGAAAGAAAAGGAGTTATGGTGACCAAGTATTTTACCCACTTCTGTGTTCTGCTTGTGTTTTCTTATATCATCCCAATTTCATTGAGGCTGTTTGGTACAGTGAATTGGCAGCAGATCTGGAGTTGGAGGACCTGGGTTCAAATCCCAGCTGTGCCACTTAGGATTTATGTGATTTTGGAGAAATCACTTCGTTTCTCTTTGTCTCAGTTTCCAGAAGAACAGAATAAGAGGGTTGGACTATGTAACCTTTGAGGTGACTTCCAGCCTGTGGTTCCAAGAATGTCTGCAAGCCAGTGTTTCCTATATATAAATTCACAAGCTTATGTTCTCTTGGCTGATAATTAGAAGAAAGTCTGGCTGTTCTGTATGAATGACTTATAAGAGTCATTTAGCAGTCAAGAACCTTGGAAATGTATTATTGTTTGGGAATGTTTTTTCACAGAACCACTTCACTATTCCTGGGAGCTTTTATTTGATGGGTTTCCTTTAGAGTGGATATTTTCCATTTTATATTGGGACACACCCTTCCGGACTGGGGATGAGGTGAGGAAATCACTTTGTGAATCAGACATTTGCCTTATGTATAAGGGCTTGTGCTTGGATCTGGGGATAAAGACCTTACAATCTAAGGTAATGCATGGCTATGACCCCAGGGAGAATAGTTAAGGTGACATCTGAAGTCAATTTAGTTACTTGAAATAAAATAGGAATTTTTTTTTTGTTTGTTTTGTTTTGTTTTGGTTAGGCTTTGGGGTTAAGTGACTTGCCCAGGGTCACACAGCTAGTACGTGTTATGTGTCTGAGGCCGGATTTGAACTCAGGTCCCAAAATAGGGATTTTACAAGATGGAGCTGAAGGGAGGGGGGATTCTCTTCTAGCCATTAGGGATGATATGTGTAAAGATGGGGAAGGGCAGAAATAGCATGGATAAAAGAATAGTCTTGTTCAGCTAGATTATAGACACTGAAGAGGAAACATTTTTTTCCTACATTGGTGGGGAATCAGGATCAGGTTAGAAAAGTAGTTTGGAGTAAGTCTAAAATGCCAGGTTCAGAACCTTGTACTTCAATCGTTAGGCAGTGGGGAGTCCCTGAAGGTTTTATGGGTAGAGAAATGTAATGATCAAAGTAATTCAAAGGGAAGATACCTTGGGTGGCTGTATGGAAGATGAATTTAAGAAAGCATAGGCTACAGTCAAGAGAACTGGCTATGAGGTGAGGCTATTTGAGAATCTAAGGAATTCCTGAATTGGGGTGGTTGTAATGAGTGTGGAAATGAAGACTAGAGGGATTTTTGTTTTCCTTACTGGGTATTAACATTTGACAAAATTTCCTTTAAGCAAGTAAGCATGGCTTGGGTGGTCTACATCGGTGTTATCCCTTCTGTAGTAGATTTTCCAAGGCAAATTGAAGCTCCCTGTCAATTGGCTGATGTTCAGATGCACACTAGGTTAGTTTTAAGCCCCAAATAAACAAATTAGGAAGACAAATGCATAGCAGGTAAAATGACATACAGTATTCCAAAGCACAGAATAACTGGGTCTTTGGAATATATGTGTGTTGGGCTCACCTGTAGTACTTCATGGCTGGCTTCCAAAGGATTGTGGAGAGTTGACTGTAGGATACTTAGCTAGTGCAGCATGCTTTCAAAGAAGTGTGTTTGTGTGCATGAATGGGGACAGATGACATTCTTGATTGGCTGGAAAACTAGAGCAGCCCCTATTTTAAGCCAATCAGAGTGACACTTTTTAACCCCAGCCCAGTGAGTGATGGTTATTGTACTGTATCCTATGCCTCTTGGGAGTGACAACATTGACATGGTTAATCATTTTGTATGATGGGAATAAATGGAAGAGAATGTTGTAACAGGATTAGTGTCTCATGCTCCAGAATTAAGTGTCTCAGATTGGCCTTGGTGATTGAAGTTGATGGGAGGGTGACAAATGCTTGTGTAGAAAGTGGGCATTTATCCAACTCCATGAGATCATTATCCTGTGACAACATGGCTTTGATCTGAGCACTAATCTTACGGAATCTGTCATCCTTATAGTAGGATGTAATTATCTTTAAATAGCTGTCACCAATCAGACTCTAATCAATACTTTTATTTGTGGTAAATGAACAAGTATTAATTATTTAGCTAATAAAAAACCCTTTGTAATATATCTTTAAGCCATTTTGTAATTGTCTCGATTATTTGCTTCTTGTTACTTG